CACACACACACACACACACACACACACACACATACACACACGGACCCAGAGAGGCATGCGGCACCCCACCCTGAGCCCTGACTCATAGCCTTCTGGGGCCTTTTGTCTCCCAGCAGCAGGGAATCCAAGCAGAAAATTCACTATTAATGGTTCAATAAAACATTCAGGTCCTGGATGCAGCCCCTTTGGAGGCCGAGGCAGCCTGGAATACAGATGTGCTGCCTCGGGAGGGAGCTGCGTTCTCATTTCATCTCCTCTGTCATTAGAGCAGGCGCCGGAGCTCCTGGGGCCAGGCCCGGGGGGCCCCCACGGTGGACCCTGCCACAGAGAAGGGCTGCGTCCATGTCAGGGTAGACAGCAGCCCCAAAAAGTGCCTTTCACAGAAGTCCTCTTTGTTCCCTACATAAACGAGGGGTCAAAGGCCACCACCCCCCACCCCCCACCCCAGACGGAGGGGAGGCCGTTATCTCAGCACACCAGGTGCCTTTGAGATTTCGGGAGGCCCGTGTGACTCCATGAGACGAATTGCATTGTGCAAATGGCCCCTGGCAGTGCCAGCTCCTACAGGGCTTGGTAAGACTTGAGGACCGTGCCCAAGGCACGAGGGGTCACTGAGGGAGACTCCGAGGGACAAGGCAACCAGCTGTCTTCTGAGGGGCCTTTCACAGGACGTGCAAAACTAGACATGGAGCATCATTCATTTCACAGAGGACTAAACCCATTTTCTTTCCAAAACGTTAAAAAAAAATCTGTTAAAATTTCGTCTTCTGAAGCCACAAAAATCTAGCTTTGGGAAGACGGTCTGCCTGCCCCTTCTCACCCCTGCCAGGGTGACCACCATGATTGGATTTTGAGACAGGGCATTCGAGGCACTTTTGCATCAACTGTCTGGGCGCGGGGAGGAAGCGGGCTCTCTCCGGACTTGGCGTGGGGCTCTCAGTTGGCCTCGGGAGGGTTGGGTGGGCTTCCAACAAGAAATGTCAAGAGATTAGAAGATTTCCTGGTGACGCTCTTTGCTGAGAAAATGGAGTTTGTGGCTGGTGGCTTGCCAGCTTGTACGTCTATTTCTAGGGGATTCTCAAGCTGCCGCCGTTTCTACAGAACCAGAGACGAACACCAGCAGAGAGACTCACATGCCAGTAGTGTTTAGTTAGCCCAGTCTAACGCACCCATCAGCCAGCAAAGCTTTCCAAGTCTCCCACTGCCAGGGAAATGCAACTCCCTAAAAGCACTCCCCGGAGCCATCAGCCCACCCACCCGTCTGTGTTCACTCCCTCTGCTGCGTTTTCTCTGCTCCAGCCCCCAGTGGTCCCTCTGCACTCCCCCTGCCCGGATCTCTTCCACCTCCGACATATAACCTAGGGCCCAGAGAGCCAACAGAGGGGTAAAGCACTGGCCCTGCAGGAAGCCAATTGGGGACACCACAGGGTCCCCCAAGCACTGCCACGTGTGGCCCCCAAAACCAATCAAGCAAGAAGCACAGCCCAGATCTTCCCATTCTGCCACAGTTCCCCCACCACCTCAGCTAGAGAGCACCACCAGCTTTAGATGCATTTTCCTACTCTCTTTCTCTCTCTCTCTCTCTCTCTCTCTCTCTCTCTCTCTCTCTCTCTTTCAAATCTTCCAGCTGTGAGCTCACTGAGCTCAGGGCTTGAGTCCACGGAATCCTCTGCCTCTGAAGACGAGAATAGGGTGCATTTGGGGCCAGGGGGACGCATTGCCGTCTGCAGTGGGAGGGGGGAGATGAAAAGAAGTGGCTGCTTCCCACCCCCGTGGTTGCGAGTCCTTCCGGACAGTGAGACATGGACCCTGCAGGGACCGGGCAGGCACACACGGTGCCCCGTGGATCATCAGCATGGATGCAAGCGAGTAGGCAGGCGCTTTGCAAATGCAGGCATTTGTGCTGAAGGGTCCGACGTGGGTGAGACGGCTCCGAGGGGCAGCCACCACATTTGGCAACCATGGGGGCACTTGCATACTGGGCAGATTTCGCCCTGGAGGTCTTACGTCAACCCACTATGCCCGGGTTGGCTTGTTTTGGTGTTGAGGCCACACCTGCTGGTGGATAGGATCAGGGATCACCTCTGGTGGTGCTCTAAGGGACCGCTCATGTGCCGGGGATCAAACCAAGGGAAGAGTCTCACCCTTGTGCTGCTGCCACTCTGCTCCTGTGCCCTGTTGGCAAAGAATGACAGCCAGGGGAGGAGAGCGCCTGGCTGTCGAATGCCCCGGGAATGATTCGGTGTCCAAAGGCAGGTGGAAGCATTAGGAGGAAGTCCCACTTCATGGAATGGGAAATCAGGAAAAGGGGCCCAGAGTAGCTGTGATCGAGTCAGCCACACTGAGGTCTCCAGGACTCAACTCCCTTTGTCGTGGGGCCCTGAAGTCTCCACCCTACTGTTGCCCAAAGGGCCTTTTGCCAATAAACACAGATGTCTTCAAAAGCTTGACATCTTCTACACTGTCCCTCTTGGTCCGAGGCAGCTGCCAGAGCACCTGCGCTCACAGGTGAGATCCAGGCAGCAGGAATGGAGGCCATGAAGAGATTTCCTGCAGCTGCATGGGCTCCCTTCCAAGACTCCTCCTGGCAACTCACCCTATTAATTAGTGGCACCATGATGACCTACTGTGAGACCATGAGCGGGTCCCCCTGCCCCACATCCTGCTTCAGCCTCCACATTAACACACAGCCGCTGGTTCCCTGCGTGATTGGACCTGGCTGTGCTGGCATCACAGCCCAGCTATGAGGCCAGACGGGGCTGCTGGAGGGACGGAACACGCAGGGAGAGCCAGGGACAGCAGCTGAGCGTCTCTGATGGACAATCTGCAGCTGACCCAGACGCAGGAGAGAGCCCAACTGCCTGTAGAGCTGCCCGGCTGAGTGCAGCCTAAATTGCCAATTTGCAGCCGTGCGAGCCAAATGGATAACCTGCTGTTTTACCTAGCAACCATGAGCTGATGCCTGACTGATTGGAAATCAATAGTTAGGGCTCTTCTCTTTAAAAAAAAAAGATTTTAAAAACTAAGGGGTCAGAGAGAACCCAAGAGGCGGTGTTGCAGGCTTGGCGTGGAGGAGGCCTGGGTCCCATCCCCAGCACCGTACTGTCCCCCAACGTGAGACAGGTCCATGGTCAAAGCACAAGCCGGGGGTAAGCCCCTCATTGCCACAGAGGTGGCCCCAAGCCCCAAATTTTAAAATAAACTTTAAAAAAATAATGATAATAATAATTTGAAGCTTGTTTCACTTGAGGGTCACAACTGGCGATGCTCGGGGCTTACTCCTGGCCCTGCACTCAGGGATCACTCCTGCTGGCACTCAGGTGACTATGTAGGATGCTGGGGATCGAACCCAGGTCGACCGCCTGCAAGATAAGCACCTTACCCACGGTAGTATCTCTCCAGCCCCTCATTTGAAGCTTGGATGTGTGATTTGGCATGGCAGTTCCACAATCCTCCAGGGATCAGAAAACTTCTGTCTTTATATGCCATCGGCATTAGTCAAGATTCCCATCCTCAACACTGTACCTCGTGGTCCGGGGCAGCTGTCAGAGCACCAGCCCTCACAAGTGAGGTCCAAGCAGCAGGAAGTAGGCCATGAAGAGATTTCCGGCAGCTGCATAGGCTCCCTTCAAAGATTCTTCCTGGAGACCCACCCGGTTATTGGCACCGTGGTGCTCATGGAGCACTGTGAGCCTCGCAGAGGCCATGAGGTGACCCTTCCTGTCACACATTGTGCCACCGTGTTGTGGTTTAGTAAGAGCGGCCCGGGAAGTGGCTCACGTGAAATCAGGATCGAGGTCTGGGACGCCAGAAGCACAGTAGGAAGCAGAGCAGAGCCCAGGCCATACGCAGGGGAGAGCTGGTTTGCCGGGGCCCTGATGGCTCTGGCCCAGGTATAAGGTTCTGGCCCCAGAACGAACCTCAACAGAAACCGAGAATGTGGCCCCCAAGGCCCCGGCTGACGCAGGCTTCATCCTGAAAGCCGTGGCTTTGCCCCCAGACACGGGCTTGCTTCCTTGCCATTCCTGAGTTCTGCCTTGAGCGGGAATTCACACCACAGCTATTCTAAAGCACACGACACAGCGGCATCAGTGTCAGCCTGTCACCAGACTGGCACCCACAGGCCCTCTGTAATCCCAGAATTCCCCATCGTCACCCCAAAAAAGAGCCCGTCCCCGGTGCAATGAACAGTGAGCAGGAGGTCTGCTTTCCTCCTCCTCTGCCCGGTCCCCAGGGACACCCCGGCACTGAGAGTCTGGGGGTACTTCTGGGTCTTGGGAAAGCAGAGCAAATCTCCCGGGACAAGAAAGGGGGCTCAGGAGGACGAAGACCCTCCTCATTAGGGAAGGAATAGGAGGGGAGGACATTTTCGACAGTTTCAATGCTCTCCCTCCCATGCACACCCAAAGGCACAGACACACTTTCAAGGGGTCAGAGAGATAATATAGAGGTTAAGGCACTGGCCGGAGGAACCAGGTCCCATCCCCGGCACCGCCTATGATCCCCTGAGCCCTGCCAGGAGGGATCCCTGAGCACAGAGCCAGGAGGAAGCCCTGAGCACCGCTAGGTGCGGCTCCCAAACAAAACACACAGAAAACCAGACATACTTTCCAGGCACACTGTTGTGGAGCGGAGTTGCCTTTTGTGGATTCCGGGGGGTGTCCTTTGTGTCAGAAGGTAGAAGGGAGGCCCGGACCGGACACTCGGTAACAGCCTCACGCTCGTGAGGTCCAGATGCAAAGTCATTTTATTCGTCTCCTTCCGGGGAGGGGTTCGACCCATTCTGCAGAGGGAGGACCTCATGGGGTGACATCTAGCCCCGGCACCTGAGCCCCGACTCAGCCACTGCCATGTGAGTGTCAAGTCTGGACATCTGCCCGGTGCCACGCAGTGGGCAGCTGGCAGCCACCTCCTGCCCTGGCCTGGCAGGTCAAGCCACTCCCTCCGGGGCCCTGGCAGTGGCGGCGGTGACGGCCGCCTGTAGCGCATCAGGAAGGTTTCAGGGGGCCCCCGCCCGCTGCCCGCTCCCTCGCCTTTACTCCTCTGGCACCAAGGTGGCTCCGGATTGGGGGGCCGCCTCGTCACTGTCACCGGGATTCTGCTCCTTCCCACTGGCTCGCCACAGCTCCCCACGGCACTCGCAGCCTCTGGAAGCCGGAGAGAGGCAGCTGCGGGCTCCGGCTGCCCAGAGCCAGGTACGGCGGTGGAGCACGCACACACGCCCGCCAGCTCGCCATGTCACAGGTCCGATGTCACACGCCGCCAGGCGGGCTCGGACGTTCTGCAGCCGGCTGCATGCAGGGGGTCAGCGAGCGTCTGTGTCATCGAGGTGGGCAGGGAAGGGGAGGGCTGAGCGTGGGGGTGGGGGAGGGTATATATGCCCGGGTGGCTGAGCCGGCAGCACCCAGCCCCACGTCCGGAGGAGCCCCGAGCAGACACCTCTCCGTCAGGTAGGTACCCGCGCACGAACCCGGCTCCAGACCAGCCACCCGGAGCCGCCTCCGAGACGCGGGGCAGCCGGAGGGGGCTCTCTCCGGCCCTCTCCTTTGTCCAGGAGGCAGCTGCCGGCCAGCAGGGAGGGCCTTTTGACATCGTTTTCTTTGCAGCGCTCGGACGAACGGACGGACGGGTAGGGGGGGAATGGAGGTGGTGCGGGGCGAGTCGTCTTGCTTTGTTCCATCCTAAAGAGGGACGCAGGAGAGAAAGCTGAACTTGGAAAGGAGGAAAAGTTTGGATTGTCCAGATGTGTGCTACTCTGTTGTGGCCAGCTGGGGAAGGGATGGCCATGCCGTGAGGCCGAGGAGGGGGACGCAGCGGGGCCGGGGGGTCTCGCCATGCAGGAAACCCCTTCCCCGTTCTGCGCACCCCATCCCCACAGCGAGGACCCTGGGGAGCTGTTTCTCTCGGCAGCTGGTTCTTCCTTTCCTTCCCAGCCGCCGTGCCTTCGATGTATCCCTGAGGTGGGGTTAGTGGCTGTAGGTCCCAGGGCACCGTTCTCCCGTTTGCACCAGATGGCACCGACTCGCGGGGGAGGGGGGTGCTGTGGGCAGGACAGCCGGACCTGGGGAGCCGTGAGCGGTCGTGACAGGGAGCGGGGCTCCGTGCTCGAGGCTGCGTGGGAATCCCACATCCGCTTCTGCAGGGCTGACCTTGGTCTCTGGCCGGGGCCGGGCGCTGCAGGCGCTTCTGCCGTTGCCTTGCGCTTTGCTCGTCTGTCTCGTTCAGAAGTGGTGCAAACTCTCTGGCTCTTTCTCAGCCCTCCTTTTTTTATTTTTTCCCTCCTCCCTTTGTGTGTCTCTCTTGATTACCCGTGCCCTCCTCCCACCCCGCCCCCGACCCCCCAACATTGCACTCCGTTCCCCGGGCAAGTTCTGGGGGGGGTGGGATTTCAAGTCAGGCAGGCTGATTCGGGAAGCCGACTATTTAAAGCAAGCTGCTTTGGACTTGAATACCCGCTGGAGGGTTTAGACAGCTGCGTCTCGCTTCTTCACGCAGCCCATAATTGCCCCAATTATCACCAGCAACATTGTTCGGCAGACTGACAAAAGAGGAGCTTCGCGTGGAGTGTTCGCCGGCGAGCGAGCCCCAGCCCGGGTTTCTTCAGCAGAGAGGAGGAAAAGTAACCTCCTGGCTTCTTCTCAAAAGCTCCCAGAGAAATCGCTGCTCTTTCTCATTGCCTGTGGGTGGTTGCCACGCGCGCTCACACACACACGCGCGCACACACACACACACACACACACACATTTACAAAGTGTGGTAGTGAGAGCCGTCTCCTCGCTCCCACGCAGGCGGTGATCCCTTCCACCCAGAGGATGCGTGTTCCCGAGTCTCCTGCGGGGAGGGTCCCTGCAGCTCAGGTCAAAGGGTCCGACGCGGGAGCAGCCTGGGCTGGAGGGAGGGACGCAGCTCTTCGGCCCCTGCAGCTCTCTGGAGACGGAGTGGGTGCTGGAGGTGGAGGGGTTGCAGGGTGAGGCTCGGGGCGCTCCTCTGTCCAGTGCAGTCACACTCCAGGGCGCTTGGAGGGGCTCAGGGGCAGTCAGCGGAGGTGGCCTCTACGTCCACCCCTCCGTCTCCCACCAGCCGAGCCAGGGGACCCTCCTCTCCCTAACAGATAGGGCGGTGCTGCAAGGCTGCGATTCACGGTTCAGGGCACGGCAGAGACGGAGCAGGGGCACACCAGGAGGAGGACTACCAGGGGGAGGATATCAGGGGACAGTGCCAGGCTGTAGTGAAGCCCAGAGGAGCCTGGTCCAGACTGGCAGGGCCAGAGAAATGTGGAGGGGAGGGCGGGGGTGGGGGGGAGGTGGGAAGCAACGAGGCTTGGGAGCTGGGCCGGGGAAGGGGCCGTGTCTGAATGCAGGGGGAGATAGGGGAAGGCGCAGGAGAGCGAGGGGAAGGGGGCTTGGCAGCTCCTGGGGGGAAACTGAGCCTTGGGTTCGGGTTCATTTCACACTGATGCCCTCGCCCGCCCGGGAGCACTCAGAAGGAGGCGCTTCAGGTTCTGCTTTCTGTCATCTGTCTGCTGGTTCCGGGGCCTCCCCCTCCCAGCTACAAAGACCCTGGGGACCCCCTTCCTGTCCCCATGCGCTCAAGGAGGGATTCCTCCACAGAGCTGGAATGCAGGGGGCTGCAGCAGGGGGCCTTCTCTGCATCATCATCCTGGCCAGCCGCCGGGAGCACTGCAGATGGAGCAGGCTCTGGGAAACACCTACGTGGAAATGGCTGTCACACGAGGGCTTCCTGCCCCGCACACACTGGCTGAGATTCAGGGCACACTGATGGGGGCGGGGAGGCCGATGGGGAGGGCGGGGGGGAGGGAAGGGGCTTCTCGGTTTCTCCCCAGACAGACCACAGCCTCCCAGAGTGTCTGCAGGTGACCACAGGCTGGCAGCTGCCTCGCCCTGGCACCTTCCTGCACAAACACCGACTTGCTGGCCCTGAAGGCCCAGGGGTGGAGGGGAGGGTTGGACGCAGAGAGTGTCTTCCCCGCCCTCCCCCTAGGAGTCTAGGGTCCCAGGGAAGCAGCGACCCCCTGGGGTTCTGTCCTTCCCTCCTCTCCCTCCCACACTCCCCACTCCCCACTCCCCACTCATGCAGACAAGAACTACCCTGGCATTCCAGATGGGAAGTCAGACCCGGCCCCCTCCCCACTTCACTGCTGGGCCAGAGACCCCTCCCCCTCAAAGGGGCCTGGGTGCTGGGCAATACTGAGTTTCTGCAAATGGAGGTGGGATTTTAGTTTAGTTTTTGTTGTTGTCATTAATGCCATCTTCTTATCTGCGTCTTCGTGGATCAGACTGTCTGGAACACTCACTAACCCGCCTCCCCACTGGCAGGCCAGAAGGTGGAAGGTACTTGGTGCTAAGTGGCTGGCCAGAGGGTGGAAGGTACTTGGTGCTAAGTGGCTGGCCAGAGGGTGGAAGGTACTTGGTGCTAAGTGGCTGGCCAGAGGGTGGAAGGTACTTGGTGTTAAGCGGCTGGTCAGAGGGTGGAAAGTACTTGGTGCTAAGCGGCTGGCCAGAGGGTGGACGGTACTTGGTGCTAAGTGGCTGGCCAGAGGGCGGAAGGTACTTGGTGCTAAGTGGCTGGCCAGAGGGCGGAAGGTACTTGGTGCTAAGTGGCTGGCCAGAGGGTGGAAAGTACTTGGTGCTAAGTGGCTGGTCAGAGGGTGGAAGGTATGTGGTCCTACTCTCAGCTCTTTTGCTTCTGTTATCTTCTAATCTCTCTGGAAGGCACCCGGGGAGGTCTGGTCATAGGAACCGGCTCTGTACAACCCATTCACATTTTTCTGTCCATGAGTGTAGAACCGTGCACTGAGGTTAGGGCGATGAAAGAGCTGCTGCCGTCCAGCCCCAAGCAGCTCCCCGCCCCACCCACCCCTCCCTACCTCCCCAGCCTGCTGCTACACACACACACACACAAACACATGCGTGCATACGCACACACACATGCACACACACATGTGCGCGCGCGCGCACACACACACACACACACACACACACACACAGCCCCCGGAGCCGTGTCCTCTGGCCCTCTGGCCCTTTCCTGCACAGTTCCTCCTTCCCGGGCGAGCACACATGCCTCCGAACCCCTCACACGAGCTAGCACATCAGCCCCGCAGTGCGGGGAGAGCGCGCAGGGAACAATCCGGTGACCCAGGGTGGGCGCAGACAGGGGAGATGCCGCCGCTGAGCCGGTTTGCTTTACGCACGCGGACTGGGCCTGGCTAACGGTGAGGGGCAACTCTGCAGGCGAGACGCCGGCACTCTGGGAACCTTCCCCTAACATCCAGAGAGCGGGCTTCCAGCGTCATGCTAACGCAGTTGGTGGGCCGGTGATTAATGCCACCGTTTCTGAGTTCCAGTGCACGTTTCCTGTCGCTGTGCCCCGTCCATTCCGGCCCCGTTCTCCCGCTCTGTTCTGGCGGTCACCTTGTGATTTGCGCCTCACTCCTCTCTGCCCCGCTCCCAGAATGGGTCACTCAGAGACCCTGCTCTTGCCCCCCACTTCTGCCTCCAACGTTTCCCATTTCAAGCAAAGCTGAGGGTCAGTCTCCAGCGTCACTCGGGAATGCCTACCTGCTACTAGGCCTGGGCAACACTGCACAGCTGACCAAGCCCTGAACTGTCCGACTTGACTGGACATAGTTCCTCAGGAGTAGCCATCCGGGCCCCTTGTGGCCAGCTAGGGAGGCTCCCCACCTCCCCTCCAAAAGAAATATAAGCTATGCACGCTCACTGTCATGGTTTGCACCGGGGAAACTGAGGCCCAGTAAGAAAGGGCCTTGTTTAAGACTCCCTCCCCCAGGGCTGAAGCGATAGTACAGTGGGTAGGCATTTGCCTTGCACGCGGTCAACCCGGGTTCGATTCCCAGCATCCCATATGGTCCCCCCCGAGCACCACCAGGAGTAATTCCTGAGCCCAGAGCCAGGACTAAACCCTGAGCATCACCAGGTGTGACCCAAAAAGAAAAAAAAAAAGACTCCCTCCCCACAGGTCAGTGGCCATTACGGGGAACTAGCCTGGTCCAGGAACCAGCCCTTGCTCCCGGGAACTCCAGGGTCCTTGTAAGTGGAAAGGGACGCATGCTTCCCCTCCACTCCGCCTGACACGCCCCCCCCCCTTCTGGGGGGCATAGCGACCTCCAGAGGGACCTAGTGAAGGTGGAAGAGGAGGAGGAACAGAAAAGGAGGCCAGCCCGTTCACAGGCGAGAGTTCTGGGTCAGGGGTCCTGCTGGTGAAGATTCCGAGAAAGCCCCGTGCTGGGGGGGAACACAGACTGGGGAGAAGTCAGCACGGAGGAGTGGCACTCAGGGGAAGGTGCTCAAG